ACAGCACTGATGTTACCTGTCTGTCATGGGTTTGGAGGGAAAGTTCCATCCTATGGGGAGTGGAAGGCGGGACATCAGGAGGAGGGGCTGTACTGTATAAATATGTGAAGCCTGTGTGGTGAGAACACACACTAAAGGAGACACTGTGAGACACTGGGTTGTGACGAAGCAGCAGCTGGGAAGAAGAAGCTGTTGTGGGAGTCAGTGTGTCAGACAGGGTACTACTGTGTGTCAGAGTAGCAACCTGATAGGTTCAGGTGTCTGTTGGTTAGCCAGAACTGATAGGTTCAGGGTCTGTGCTTCCAGTTAAGGGTTCTGGGTGAACCCAACTGTATGTATGTATGAGTGAAACTAAGCCACGTTACTTTATCTTATTCACCTGATTGTTTATTTTTCCCTGTGTGTATTTAAATAAACCTTATTCTTTTTATTGTTTAAAAATCCATCCCTGGTCTGTGTGACTTCTTAAAGGGAATGGTTGGTGGCAGCTTAGTGTAACTGTGTGACATAGCCCAGTAGGTCTGGGTTTGTCACACTCACAGCCATAAATACTACACTCCCAAGCCAACTACACCAGAGCACAGAGTGCTGTCTTCTGAAGATGCTGGCCATAGAGACTGGTGAAACGTTAGGAAGAACAACCTTCAGAACACAGCCAAAGAGCCCGAAAAACCCACAACAACCATTAGATCCCAGCAGTGAAAGTCTTCGTGAATACAAGTTCAAATTTTTATGCTATTTGGGGTAGATGCATTGAATTTGTATTAGTGAAAGGAAAGGGGAAAGCCTCTAAACAACAATCAATACAATTTTGGGAAGGAAGTTCGTACTGAAAGTATTGCTCCAAGGGGTCCCGTGGGTATGGGGTGAACAGTAGTTGTGATTGTATAATTTAAAAAATAAAATTTAATTAAAAAGATGTGAACAAGTTAGAGCAGGGGTCGGTGCCATGTAGCCCCAAGGGCATTTTTGTGCTTTCTCGGGCCACACTTGGATCCCCAAGTTTAAAATACTCTCTCTCTCTCTCTCTCTCTCTCTTTCTCTCTCTCATGCAAAATAATTATCTTTTTCCCCTCCTGGAGGGAGCAGAAGTTCTCATTTTGGGGGCACTGGAAGTCATATCCAGATCTATTGCAGATCATGATGGCTGAAAAATTGCCTCTCCCCCAAGCTCCTTGAGATTACTCACCTTTGTGTCATCAGATTTAAATGCATATGACATCTACTTTCTCAATAAACAGTTGGCAATGATTGTGATGCTTGCACACACCCTACATGGTTCCTGGCTCCTGCAGAGGTGACCCTTCTGATTTGTCGTGGTTTGGGAATCATTCAAGGAGGAAGGAGCCCAGGGACAAGATGTTTTCTTCTGCTGATCTACATAACCACAGATATGGGTTAGTCTGTTTAGAAGACCAATCAGATTGGCTGCTGTGCTAAGCATAAGCATGATAAGACACTTTAATGGTAAGATCACCAGTTGATACTATTCTGTCTGCTACCATAATGTGCTACTGATTAATTAATTAATAAGTGGGATAAGGCTGGAACAAAGCAGTACAGGGAAATGAGTCATTCTAGACCTCTCTCATCTCCTGGAAGCTGTGAGTTTCTGGGCATAAATAAAATATATGACACCACACATAGGGCAGGTTCTTTTGCTTTCTGTGAAGGGCAGTGGGGATGAACCCAATAAAAGCACTTCTTATTAGCTTGTCTTCCTAATTACCCAGGTGGATTATTATTGTGAAGCCTTGCAAAGCAAAGTCTGATTCCTAGAAAAGGGGATTTGAAGGTGTTGATTGTTTTGCATTGGCCCTCCTCACTTTCACACTTGCACGATATTTTTTGCCTTTAATAGGGACTTCCAGGCCATTTTTCCCACAATGGTGCTTACACACTGGGTCATCATCTTATTGTTAAATATTTACTGACAGTGTAGACACAACTCCATGCTTGATTTTGGCTACAGTTTAGTACAGACTTGTTTGGGAGAATATCCTCTTGGAAAAAAAGCAGACTTCCTTCTGAGTAAACATTGGTAGGCTACTATTTGATTGTACACAGTTCGACCCCTTCTAAAGCAGAATGGGAATTAATTGGCCCACTGGTTATTAGGGTCAGGAACTCCCACAGTCTCTCATTGTTGACTGCAATAGGTGGGGTTTTCTGGAACATTCTGAATGATAAGATTTTACTGGAAAAAAAATAGTGGCCTAAGAATGCATTGGCATCTTTATTGGACATGCACTGACTAAAGAAAACTTTTTAAATTCCCAAGAGCTGATAAGCACTGGAACCATTTGATAGAGGGGGAAAATACATTTAATGTGGTTTAAATATTGTATTCTAACATATGAACTGCTCTATGTGAAAATCATTTGCATGAATCAGCAGTTAGACAAATCTTTATCCACAAACTCTGCAGTTCACTTTTGGGCACAACTGAATCTTCTGCATACAGGCTGTGCAGGGAACTGGAACTATGATGTCTTCTTACTAGCTTTTGCAGAACGTAGTCACTGCTGTGGCAAAAAGAGAGACACCATGATAGTACAGGCAGATTTAAAAAGGCAATCAAAATCTTGTAACCATTGGAACATTGCATCATAGAAGTTCCCCTTCCCTACCAGCTTATCTGCATTTTTGCCCAACAGCATACAGTACTTAACCTAAACATGACTCCAGACCTTGTCTGATGCTTGTAACCGGGAGCTATTTATGCTAATTACCCTCCAATACAGTATCTCATATTACCCATTCCAATGTAAAGAATAAGCTGACAGCTTGATTCTGTCCACTAAATTCAGTTCACTCAGTCTTACTCCTCAGCGAATATGTGATACGATACCTTGCAGGTTTACTCAGAAGTAAATCTCACTGTGTTCAGTGGAACTTCCAAGTAAAATTCAAAGCCAAGGAATATTTCCAATAGGCCTCTAAAATCTCAAAAACAGGCTAATAGTACACAGTCATGCAAGGTTGGCTCAACATGTTTTAATGCCAGAGACAAAGTCAAGACAGCAGCATAGACAACTTTCGCCAATTCTGTGAATGAATGAGATTGCCAAGTGAATTCTATTTCAGCACTGGTAATGGCAGTGGACACAGAATGTCCTCCCACTTTTTCCATGGGCAGCGGGCTAGTTTAGGGGCTTCATACACACAGCTCACTCCTGCAGCAAAGTCTGTAGATAGTGGCTCAGGAGCAAAGATCAAGAGAGCTGCCTGGTACTGTTGTCCCTAACATCGGTTGCCTCACTTTGTCTAATGACAGGGCCAGCCCTGGGAATGTCATTGCGACCACATGGTTACTATCACTGCATACTTCCTGGAAGAGCATCTGAATTCTTAGGAAACGCATGGCAGGCAGGCATTCAGTAGCTGAAACCTTCCTCAGCCACATTTTCTTTCATTGTGAGGAAACACAATACCAATAACTTTTCTTGCTGTCATATAATAGGAAAAGAATTGCTAGGGGGAAAAATTGGCAACCCTATATTGCTATAAGAAACAAGTGCCTTTCTCCTCTGGCTTCATTTTGCTGCTAATAATTTTATCAAAAGACTCTGAAACATCCCAGATTGCAACTACATTAATTTACTTAAAAGGTTACAATTTTTATCAGAGAAGTCAGCTGAAAGCCCTTCACAAAGTGTCCTATGATATTCTGATTAGTAAGCTAACGAGATATGAGTTGCATAGAACAAGTGTCAGGTGGATATACAGTTGGTTAGAGAATCATACTCAGAGAGTGCTTATCAGTAGCTTCTTCTCAAACTGGGAGCAAGTGGGTTACCACAAGACCTGGTACTCTTCAACATTTTTGTGATTAGGTTCGTTTGAAGGTTCTTTGTCCGTGGGCATCCTCAGTGGAACACTCCTCACTGCACATATTGTGCCGCAACAGGGACGCCAAGCCCAATACCCCTCGCAGGGTGGTTAATTGAATGACGAATAGGGGTCTGATCACCCTCCTCTAGTGACCTTGTCCTCATGGGAAGACCACGACTATCCATTCTTGTTATTGTCACCTTCTTTTAACAATCCGCCCACTTTTAAGTTGGGAAAATTTTCCAATAACGCTCTCGCTTTTCCATAACTAGACTCTCCTTTCTTTCTTATTCCTTCCTGTGGTATATTGAAAACTCTTCTTTTCTCCTTCTCTTTTATATCCTCCTCCCACACTGGTAAGGTTAACTCCTCCCCTTCCTTTCCCTTTCCTTCTTCTACCAAACTTCCACCTTTACTTCTTTCCCCTCCACTTCCTTCTCATAATTTTCCTTTATAATCAATCCTTCTTTTTCTTTTCTCTCTTCCTCTTTCTGTGACACTATTATCTGGGGAGACGGCATCTCTTTTTCTCCTTTCTATTTCTCCTTCACAGTTGCACAGAACAAGTATCAAGTGGATACACAGTTGGTTACAGAATCTGTTAGGTCTCCTCTTGAGTTCTGTGTCCAGATCTGGAAACTGTACTTTAAGAAGGATGCTGACAAACTGGAACAAATTCAGAGGAGGGCAATGAGGGTGTTCAGGGGACTGAAAACCAAGCCCTATGAGAAATGACTTAAAGAACTGGGCATGTTTAGCATAGAGAAAAGATGCAGGGAGATATGATAGCACATTTAAAATACTTGAAAGATTATCACACAGAGGAAGGGCAAGATCTGTTCTCGATCATTCCAGAGTGCAGGACACATAATAATGAGCTCAAATTAAAGGAAGCCAGATTTCAGTTAAATATCAGGAAAAAAAAATCCAAATGTTAGAATACTATGACAATGGAACCAGTCACCTCAGGTAGTGGTGAGTGCTCCAGTGCTGGAGGTATTCAACAGCAAATCAGACAACCATCTGTCAGATATCTTTGACTGGATTCCTGCATTGAGCATGCGGGGGGGCGGCGGGGAATTGACAGCCTTATAGGGCCGTTCCAACTTTTATCATTCTCTGAATTCCAACAGGAAGTCTCTGACTAATGTTGAACAGCCTGTGTGAAGCTCATACTCAAGATCAATGATTTCTAATGAAACCTGACACACTGAAATGTACCTTCAGGCCAACAGCAGTGTCTATGTTAGTTCCCTCCAAGGACCTTTAGTGCTTTTGCACAACAATCGCACCTGCCTTTCCTCAAAAGCCTTGATGATTTTTCATAGAAAATCTGAAATGAGAGATGAACATTGTTAAGATTTTTCTGCCAAGGCCTGGCTTCATATGCTGCTTGCACCAGAGCTCTGCTCTGCAAACGCAAGGGGATGTCAAGCAACTATCTTACAATATTTTTTTTGCACATCAAAAGCATTCATATTGCCCCAGGCATGATTTGTTTCTACGCATTTTATTTCTTCTATTGTTTCATAGATTTTACCTGAATGGAAAGGAGTCTAAAAATGCTATAATTTGAATCTGATGCTACCTTTAATTTTCTATAAAATGTTCATACTAAACCACTGGGGTTTTTTTATGTTTCACTGAGAAATAATTTTAAATGGCACACTAAAACCCAATTAAGGCCAAAAAAAAGTACAGTACCTAAATGACTTAAATGAATGAATACACTTCATTGTATGCATGCATGTGGGAGCACATTACATCTTTAAGAACATATGTTTGTCACCCATACGGCAGCAGGGAACATTAGGGGTATATCAGTATCTCCACAATTTTCCCTCAAAGTTTGGGGATCCTCCCAGGGTGCTGATGATACTTTGTTTGGATCAAGTGGGATGTTTCTGGTGGATATCATGATTCAACACTTGCTAGTGGATGACATGGATTTGGAAATATTCTTTCTGTTTTAGACTGAACAAAAATGGCTGGGATGAAGTCTTATCAGTGTTTCATGGAACACTCGGGAGTAAGACACATTTATAGAATCAAAGCTATGACCAAATTGTATGTGATGACTAACAGAAAGAGTTCAAAATGTTGTTTTTTTCCTGGACTACCACTCATAGAGTCCTCAAGATGCCATAGTCAGGATTTTCCAGGGGCCATGTTTGCTGGCCAATTCAAGGACGTGTACTAAAGGAAATGTAGTTTTTCTGAGCTGAGCTGTGGGATATGGGATATGTTTCCCCAACCCAGCACAGGTAATACTGAGCTGGGTGATTCAACAGACTTCATGGGAACCTCCTATGTTCCACTGTGTTTGTGAAGATAGTTCAGAAATAGGTTTGCAGATATCATTTGTCCCCATTATTTTTCTGAACTGCCTTAAAGTTGGGATGATTAAATCTCACAGAGAAACTCGAAGTATGATAAAGAAACTAAAATAGATAGCACAAACATTTAAATGTTTTAATGACTTTTTATTTTTTAAGGAGCAGGCATAGGAATCCTCGGCAGGGCAGGGGGAAACTGAGTGGCAGTTTTCTCATTCAGCATCCCAAGAACCATCCAATTGATGGACAGTTGCACAAGCCTTTTTAGCCCAGTGGGACTTTGTATTTCAAATTCCCATTCTACCCCTGAAGGTGATGAGGCAAAAGAGGAGCAGTGCTCAGAAAGTCTTTTGGGGTTTGTGTTGTTTTGTTTTGATGATACTGGCCATGCTGACTGAGGGGCTTGGGGAGTTGTCATCCAGAAATGTAACCTTTGAGGAAAGTTGGCTCCTCTAGTTCCCAACCTTATGTCCCCTGGTGTTCTTCAGCTAAAATTCCCAGAAGCTTTCACCACTAGCTGTGCTGGCCAGGATTTCTGGGAGTTGAAGTCCAAGAACATGTGGGGCCCCAAGGTCAGAAACTACTGCTCTAGTGGGTGCTGTAGCTGATTGGACCTAATCCGCCCCATCTTAGGGGAACATGGGGCTTTAGCTCTAGTAGATACAAAGAAAACAGGGCCTTGTCTTCACAGTCTTTAGAACACCTGGCTTGAGAGCCTTATGGCAGCTACCATCATGGTACCAAAATTCCTCTCCATCGGCAGAGGGGCACTGCTGTCAAGACAACAGCTCCTGCCAGATGACTCTCAGTGGCTGGTAGTGTCCTTGGAACAGGTCTGTACCCATTAGAACAGCATAAGACTTGGCCTCCCCTCATAGAACAGGGATGGGCTAACCATCAATCTCACCAGCCCTACATAACTTGGACTTATTTCCTGGTAGAGCCAAATTAATAACACCTTCACAAGTACTGTACATCACTTAGTTTCCACTCAGCTGCCATGCCCACTCTCAGCTTGTTCTTATTTCACATACATCTGTGGAAGGGGAACTTCCATTCTTCCAAGGATGTTAATCATTAAAGGGAAGAACTCAGGACAGAGTGTTGTCCTCCTTGCAAGAACACACTCACTTTGGGAAAGCTTCTGTGCTCATTAGGAGGAATTTTGCATGCATTACCTTCTCCATCGCCCTTCACCCCATCCCCCATTTTAATCCTCCCATTGCAAATGTTTGTTTGTAGCTTTGTCAGACTGGCTCCAGGTTTCCCTTTCACATGATCTTGGGTGATGATAAGTTCCTTCTATGGCTTGCTAATAAATCTAGAGTCAAGGGACAACTGCTTTCAGAAGGAAAGAGCCTCAGGCCTTTGTGACTCCACTGTATGTTATGACATGGAATTTACCTACCAAAACAACTGCTCAGATGTTTCAGTATCACCATTTTTATTGACAAGGGAATAATGCAACTGATGTTTTCCTAAGAGAAGGGCTGTTGAAGGGTTGTTGTAAGCACAATATCTATATATTGAGCATTTCTATACTGGTGACTTAGTGCAAAGCTCTACTCTAAACGGATTACAGTAAGGCAACACAACAGATCATTCACCCCATATGTCAACCATTAAACATCTCTAAATAGTGAATAAATAAAAAACCCAAATGATAGCGCAACAGGTTACACATACAAATTCAACTTAAGTGAGGATGTCTTTAAATGCCTCTTGAAACAAGACAGTCTTAACCAAAAAAACTCTTGGCCGCATGTTTATATATTAGCAAGACTTACTTATTCATTATACTTATATCATGCTTTCTCTCCAGTTAGGTCAAGATTGCATGAAAGGCTCTTTTCCTTTCCACTTTATCCTCAGAGGAATAATGAGAGACAGATTGGTGGTGGTGGTGAGAGAGAAAAACTAGCCTAAGGTCATCCAGCGCGTTCAGTGGAAATTTCAGTGTGCATTTCACAGTCAGCACTAACCATTACACCACACTGCCTATCACTTGGCTTAATTGACTGCTTAGATTCAGGTGGTTTTAGGGTATCAGCCATCCAAGTGTGCCAACCAAAGTGTTAGATTTAGTCCTCAGATCAAATCCTCAAGAGTCATTAACTCAGTAGGTGATCTTTGATAAATCATTCTCAGCTTTCTTTTCTAATCTGTAGCGTAAGAATACTAGTCATCTGTGTTATCACTTAACAAAGGGGGCTACTGCTCACTGTCACCTTTAGAGACCAAGGAGGCACCTAAAGTTAATTTGTTTGGAGTAGACCCTTTGAATGACTAAGACCTGTTACATCAAAACAATCCACTCTGATTCAGCAGATGTACTCTAGCTGGCACTGGAGCAGAATAATTGGATTTAGTTACAAACCAATTATCCAACAGTCTGAAGAGAGGAATCTTAAGAACCAAGGTGAAGTTTATAATTATCATATCCTTTGAGAATTTTCCTGGAAGTAAGCCCCACTGAATACAGTGAAATTACTTCAGAGTAAACATGCCGAGGATTCCATTCTCAACTACTTTCTCCCTCAGTCCCAGTCGATGCCTCCAAACTGGGCTATTCATAGGAGAATTTTTCAAAAGCTGATGTTTCGGGCTTCAGTTCCCAGAAGTCTCCAGCTGGCATAGCCCGGATTTCCAGGCGCTGCTTAAAACGTCAAGCAACCTGACTTTTTAAAAGACGAAGTTGTTTTACTTGCGAGGTCACTTCTGTTTTTGTTATGCTGGAGACACAATGACAGTTACTTCAGCTTTCGTATGTAAAGAGAGAAGCCTCGAAAAACTCTAGGGGTCTCCGCCTTGTTCGCACAGAGAGCAGGGGGACCTGGCAGTGCTTTCCGTTATTAGAATTAAAAAAACGCTCCACTTTTTCCCAGCCTTTTGGCAACTCTGGCCTTTCCCCAACCGGGCACCTTCCGGCCGCGTCGGGGCTGCAATTCTACCGCTGCCGCATTTGCTGTGAAGACGATGCGAGTGGTAATACAGTACAAGGCATATGGAAGACATCGGGTCGGAGAAAAGAGATTTACTACCAGGGTTATTATTATTATTATTATTTTGTTTGTTAATAGTCGGATCCCCACGAAACCCGCCAAAGCTGTCTTATACCTACCATCTACTAGACCTTTAAAGGTCTCGAGGTGCGGTGGGGTGGGAAGTGACTGACTGACTGAAACACACACACACACACACACAACACACACACACACACACACACACACACACACACACACACACACACACACACACACACACACACACCTCTCTCTCGAGGAGGTGCACCCCAACCACAGCCAAAACGTTCCCATAACAGAATTCAACGTCCTCTCTTGACGGGGCCACTTCGCTCTTCTTCAAGATTTCTGCTGAGATTCCGAGGGTAAAAGGGGCTTCCCGGGCCTTTTGAAGTGCACCGTCGGGCGGTTCCTTGGGCTGTCTTCGCGGCCATTGGATTAGAGGCGCTTTCCTCATTGGGTGGCAAATGCAGATGGGTCCCTGCCCTGCAGGGATTCCCCCCCTTATAAAAAAAAGATGTGGGCTGCTCTCCCCTCTCTTATTCTGCTATGTGACGAAGTGGGCTCTCTGGTCCACAAGAGGCTTACGCCGGAATATGTTTCTTGGCCTTCAAGGTGCCTCACGACTAGCCCTCGGAGATTTATCTGTCTTTTCGTCCTGGGGGAGAGAGAGGAAAGCGGTGTCTTTCTTTTTCTTTTCTGGAAAAGTTTAATTAGAGGTGGGAGTGGGGCGGCTAGGACAGTCCATGTAATAGAGAGATTCACCATGAAGAGGAACACCTTTGTCATCCTGCTTGGGATATATAGTGGAATTTTCAAATCATCAGCATGGTAAAAGCTCTAGCCTCATTGTCAGTTTTTTTTTTTCCTTTTAAAATATATAGTCTTATTAAGTGGTGCAGTTCAATGATGGGTTTTACTGCTTTTCTTTCTCCTCCTCTCCTTTCCTTCAGGTCAGTGAACAACTTTCTGATGACAGGACCTAAGGTATGTATTTTCTCCCCTGCCTTTCCAGAGTATCAGGAACTTCAACAACTTTTGGCACAGTCCACTTTAATAATTAGTAACTCTGTCCACCTCCTTCCAGGTGAAGATTTGGGGGGGGGGGAGATGGAATACTAACAGGTGTGTTTAAAGGTATATCGGAGTTTTGAGATAAAATGACTAGTTCTTCATTTTCTCTGTGAAAGGCATATTTGACCTATTCTAATAGCGTAGCTGCTGGTGCCCAACTTGGGATTGAAGAATGTAAATACCAGTTTTCCTGGGAACGCTGGAATTGTCCTGAGAGTGCACTTCAGCTCTCCACTCATAATCGACTTAGAAGTGGTAAGTGGATTCAGATATAACCTTCCTTACTGATAGACCTGTTTGGGTTGCATAGCAAGCAACACATTTAAGTTGTATAGCAAGCAATACATATATAGAGGAAATGTTTGAATGGTATACAGTCAGTAATTCCAGGACTGTTTCCAGGCTTCTGTTTCCATTGCTAAGACTTGATCCAGGAATATAGGAAGAAACGAACAGGTGGGGAATGGGAATTTTATTCAATGTATTCAAAACACATTTTTAAAACATGTTCTTGCGTTACCTCCCAGTCTTCTTCCCAAGAAGCTCATGGTGTCCTCCAGAGGTTTTTTCTCTTTTTTTATTGTTCTCACAGTAATTCTGGGATCTTACCCACTGAACTTTACAGCCTAGAGTGGTCCTGAGTTGGCTAGATAGGCAGGATATAAATAAAATAAATAAATAAAATAAATAAATTTGATCCAGGATTTACCCAGTGCAGAGCTGGGGAGGAAAAAAAACTTTATTGGACTACAATTCCCATTATTCACAGAATTTTATTTTGAAAACAGTACTTTTTTCCAAGTTGTACCCCTGTCCTTGCTTGACATTCTAAAATTGTTACATGCTGGCTTTCCTTTCCTGTACTACTGGGGGAATGGAAGGAGATAGTCGTTGTCATACTTTGGGGACCTAGGAAAAGCATTTTCTAGCTCAGACATACTCTATCCTCTCTATCTCCTTTTTCTAGCAGAAATTAATTAACTTAGACCCCATGATCCATAGGGTCCCTTCCAGTTCTGCAGTTCTTAAATTATTATTATAATCCTTGTTTAAAATCCAAAGATTATTTATCCCTTTGAAAACCTACAACTGCTTTCATCCAAATATTATATAGAAAACTTTAAACTACCTTCCAAGTTTCAAATTGAAAGCAAAAACTATGAAATTCCAGGACAAGAACATAACCCCTCTGTGCCCTCTCAGACTTGAGCCCTGTTCAGTTCATGGGGACATATTCCTTCAGATGTATTATTAGGAAGGCAGTCTCAGCTATAATAAAAATGTATGTAAACATCAGGTGTTCTCTCCCCCAAAAAAGTGTTTACCATAAAAGTTTTAATATTTTTAAAAAATCAAAGCATGCTGAAAAGATTTTCATGGTATCATTCAGTACATTTCACCTCTGCACTCATTGTTTTGTGTATCCTTCCCAGTACTTTATGGTGCTATACCTGTTTACAGAAGGAGATATTTCCAGTGTCTTCTACACTTTCATGAAACTCCCAGATATCTGCCCTTCCTCAGCCCAGGACTGGTCAAATCTTTATTCTTGATCATTGCTCTGATGGGGTTCAATGAGTAAGAAATTGCCTCAGGCTAATGACAGATTCCTTTTCCTTCCAGCCACCAGGGAGACGGCTTTTGTTCATGCCATCAGTTCAGCTGGCGTTATGTACACTCTTACGAGGAACTGCAGCATGGGTGACTTTGAAAGTTGTGGCTGTGATAGTTCGAAAAATGGACACACAGGTGAGTTGGGGTTTATCTTCAGATAACAGCCTGGTAGCAGAAGAGGAGTAAACTGATTTTCCTTATAGCTATCTTACTTCTATACAGTGGGATTTCATTGCCTGTCTTCCCCCTGTTTTTGTGTGCCAACTTGGCTACTCAGTATTACAAGGCAGACATTAAATGAGAGATGCGTTCATACCATTAATCACTGAAGTTACCACTAACATATATTTCTTAGGCCCCTAACCTTCTGTGTTCCCCATCTTGTATTTCTCCGCCAGTGCAGAATTGGCTGTGTGTGTGTGTGTGTGTTCCTTTTTCCTTTTTTAAATTTCCCCCTGCATATTCAAATGCATTTCTGTTCTTAGGTTCCAAATGAACACAAATCTCAAGTGCTATAATTTTTTTCCCCACAGGTGGAAAAGGATGGATTTGGGGTGGCTGCAGTGACAACATAGAATTTGGTGAAAGAATCTCCAAGCACTTTGTGGATTCTTTGGAGAGAGGACATGATGCCAGAGCTTTAATGAATTTGCACAATAATGAGGCGGGCAGACTGGTAAGTAATGTGAGCTTTAAAAAAATATTTATTTGGAATTGGCTGATGTGCATAAAAGATACTACAGCAGGGGTGGCGACCCTTTGGCACTCCAGATTTTTGGAGCACAACTAGAATCCCTAGCCTATATTGCCAAAGATAAAGGACTGTGTGAGCTGTTGTCCAAAAATCTGAAATGCCAAAGGTTTGCCACTCCTGTATGACTGAATTGTCCCATCAGACTATGTTTTCTCTGAATGAGCTGTCTCTGTGACTTCATGGGCTTGATTAGCTTAGCATGCTCAACTTGAATGAGGTAAGAGTGATCAAACTCCTAAGGGGAGTTCATGATTAGCTTAGTCTTACTTCCATAAATAAATACTGTATTAGGCTTAAATAGTATCTTGTTAAGTTTGCATGGAGAGCAAATTGATGGTTCATTTTGATTCCAGGGCATAAAACAGGGAGATATGTAACACACTACATTGACAGTAATATTGGTGTAATCCTACATGGTGACAGGACTCTTAAGCCACTAAAAAGTTATTCTCTCTTCTCCATTAAGATCAACAGATGGATCTGTTTTCTTGTTCTGGCTCAGTTAACAATTTTGGCTTAGTTATGTCATGTCTTCTCATCATTCTGTTTCAGTAACAAGAACTTGGAAATTGAATTTAAAAAGAGGGTGATCAGTCTGTCTGTGCAGTTCTGCACAGATGATAGGAAGTTTTAAGAATCTGGATGTCTATATATAGATATACCTATCTTTGCTAAAAGTAGATGTTTGAAACAACTTGAAGTGACCAGATAGCAGAAACACACAAACACTGCTTATGTTCTGCTCATTTTTCTACAAGATGCAATGAAAGTCTTAGACAGAGGGACAGAAACTAGCAATCCTGTATTTTCCTAATAGAGGAGTTTGTCAGTGTTGAATATCTTCCAGGATTAAAAATTTAACCTGAAATCCAGTGTGTATGTACATATCAGGGTGAAGGCACAACTGAACAAAGAATTTATTGTCTATCAATGAATTAATCAGGTTGTATGGTTCCACCTGCAACAATTCCACTTGTCTGAGGAGCTTGAAAAAGTGATGAATGTCAGCCAATGAGTTTAAAGTGATTTACAGTTTAGAAGCCCATGTTCTAGAATATTTCACCCACTCATCTCCATAGCAGCATTACTAATGTTCCTGTTTCACAGGTGGTAGAGAACAACCATTTTGTGAATTGATTACCTGACCCTAAGTCCTCTGCTCACTTTTCTGCTGTTACTTCTATTCTGACCAGTGGGGTTCTTTCAAGGCTGTCACTATATGCACTGCAATGCAGCTGTGTTGGGCAGCAAATGCTAAGGGGTGTGAAATGGAGAGTGCTGGGTGTTCAGCTAGTTCCACATGACCTTCTATTCATCTCTCAGCATGCCTGAAAGTACAGGCTTGTTGTCCTGATCTGAGATTTAAAATAAGACTGCGTAGCCAGCCTGATAAGCTATTGCACATTGAATCAAGTGGGGATGGGGAGATCTCATCTTGTCAGACAGCAAAATATTGTCTGCTTGATTCTTCAGTTTGGTGGACGAGTCCTTGAAATTCAACTGAGAAGTATCTAAAGTGTCACTTCAAACTGTTCAATCTCTAAACAAACAACAGAGGAGAAAAAACTGAGAATAAATTAGTGCTAGGATAGGCATGAGTACCAGAAGCGGCACAAGTTCTTTTCAGTGCCATATTGAAACCATCAACTGGAGGGATAAGACCTGGGAAAGTGTACATCCTTGCTCATGTGTATGTGAGGTAGTAGCTAGAGCTGACCTATAGTAAGGCCTTTGCTGAACCTTGAATCTCACTGGGAAGCCCACATCCTGGCTGGCCTATGTATTAGACAAATTGAAAGTTGTGTCAGGATGCAGCCCACTGTGCCACTTCTTCACCATGGAGTACTATAGCCACTGTGCCAGGGCCAGCCACATCCCAAATGGCTCTCTGAGGAATCCTCTGTGAATGCCTGGCCAGCACTGCTCTTCCCAAAGTTCACCCTCTGGAGTTAGATAGAGGGCGAACAGGTTGTGGAGTTGTGAGGACTGGAGCTCAGAAAAGTAGCTCTGTTCTGATGCCAGACAGCCAAAACTGATAATCACTGCATTTCTGGCCCAATGCAAAGTGCTGGTTGATATTTTTAATCCATAGGGCTAGTATCTTGTTAAGTTTGCATGGAGAGGACAGTTCTGCCAGCATAGTAAGGTGGGACTGGGCTGCTCGTGCAAGTGTTGCCATTGTGGAAGCCAAGTTGTCTTCGTGCAAATCACAACAGCTACCATTGCCCAAGTGCCATGATCCGGTGCTGCTATATGCTGGGATGAGTTTCTGCTTAGCAGAGGCTCTGAGGAATGCTGGCCATTAACTGTTTGGGACCAGGTTATTCAAAGGATCACTGGCACCTGTATGTAATTGTCTGGGTGCTGAGACTAGTCCCTAAGCCTCCTCCTCCTCAGCCTGCCAGTTAGGCTAATTAAGCTGATTTAGCTCCAGAGATGAGGCCTCATAATGCTGGTTCTGTATTACGGTTGAACTCTCTACCACAGAAAGCAAAGCTCACCACTTGCTGTAAAATTTTTAATTGGCTTTAAGAGGTTGTTTTCACATCCACTTTTACTAATTAATGTTGAATTCGTTTAGGATTTTAAAATTAAACTTTAAAAATGGTTGTATTTTTTTTGACTCAGCATTGGACTTAGGTGATATGATTGTGTGACTCCTTCCTTTGGATTTTGAATTACTTTTATGATTTTCTGTTCATATAATTTTGTTAGGGCTTGTAATATTGTAAATCTCATTGTGAAGGCTGTTCTCTAGTCTTGTTCATTTCTCCTGCAAACAATACTTGATAATTAATGTTTAGTAGTAAGATGGAATTGGACTTAACATGGACCATGATCCTTATGAGATGCCCAGATATCAAACTGCATGGATAGTGATTGTTTCAAACTTCCATGAATGGACTGAATTTCAAATAATCATTTTTTTTTCTTACTGTTTGTCACCAAGACATAATTTCAGTGTAATTGTTTTGTGATGCAGTTTCATAGTGTTCCCAATTGGTCTCTTGTCCCTTTCCAAAGGCTGTAAAAACAACCATGAAGAGGACCTGCAAGTGTCATGGTGTATCTGGGAGCTGCAACATTCAAACCTGCTGGCTCCAGTTGGCAGATTTTCGGGAAATTGGAAATTATCTGAAAACCAAATATGATGAAGCGAAGAAGCTCGAGACGGACAAAAAGAGAATGAGAGCAGGAAACAGTGCAGAGCGTCGGGGAGCCATCGACCAGACATTTGGTGCAGTAGCAGCCCCTGATCTGGTCTTCTTGGAGGACTCTCCTGACTACTGCCTCAAAAACACCAGCTTGGGCCTCCATGGCATGGAGGGGCGGGAGTGTCTACAAAGCGGCAAGAATGCAACCCAGAGGCAGAAGCGGAGTTGTAAGAGACTCTGCGTGGACTGTGGCTTGCAAGTAGAGGAGAAACGGACAGAGGTGGTCACCAGCTGCAACTGCAAATTCCACTGGTGTTGCACAGTGAAATGCCAACAGTGCAGACAAGTGGTCACCAAGTATTATTGCTCCAAACAAGATGACACCTCTTCCAACAGCACCCGACGGCGCAACAGGGGGCCCAGGAGATAAATCAGCAAGTCTCTAACCACAGCCTATGACTGTCTTCCAGCAGACTGATCCAAAGGGTCTTCCAAAACATAAAAACTTTACTTGGACAATCATAAACCTGAATGTTGCTGGCCCAGGTCCTTTATTATTACACTGGACAAAGCTTCGAATTCAACTTCCTTTTTATCCAAATTGGCAGTCGTCCTGCGCATTCCCTCTATAGGTTTCCTTAGCCAAAAGTTCTGCCTTAAAAAATGTCACTGTATAGCCATGTAGGGCAGTGGTCCCCAACCTTGGGCCTCCATATGTTCTTGGACTTCAACTCCCAGAAATTCTGGCCAGCATAGGTAGTGGTGAAGGCTTATGGGAGTTGTAGTCCAAGAACATCTGGAGGCCCAAGGCTGGGGACCACTGAGGGGATTCTGACAATCATAGGCCCCCAAACCAACTTTTCCAAGGTTTGTTTAAAACAGGGGTGGGCTAAGGGCTGCTCTCCAGATGTTGTTGAACTGCCCGCATAGCCAGGAGGAAGAAAGATGCGAGTGGAAGTTCCACAGCTTCTGGAGGGTCACTCTTTGCCCAACCAGACTGATTTAGGATTGTGCTGTCATTATGTAGTGTGACTTTTAACTTTAGGTTTGAAATTTCCATTATGTTCCAGTTTACTTTTGTGCCTTTCCAGTTAGGTCTAAACAACTTTTCCCCCAGCCAATGTACGTATTGTCAGTTTTATTTTGGGAGTCTCCGTTGCAAAAGACGGTTTGTGAAAATAGTTGAAGATACTTTCATAAAATCAATTTCCCTTTGTTGTCAAGAGATGGTTTACAAAGCCTGCTGCTGCCCCTTCTCAGCCAGCTGTTTGCCTGTGACCTCACTGTTAGTGCAACTAGGGTTTTCTGTAGATGCACCTTCAGCTTTTTTTCAATCATCATGGCTTTTGGTGGAAACAAATTCACCTGCTCTGCTGGAAATACCTGCTGGTTGTCATATCTATAGCCTGGTTCAGTTTCACAAATTCCCTCAATATACGTAATTGCAGTGCTGCAGCTGCTAGTGATGAAGTGCATGAACTGTTGCAGAAATAATTTTTAGTAGTTAAGACAGTATTAGGTTGTGTGGGGTCAAAAGTAACATGGACTTAGTATTTTCAGTACTCAAGACTTCGCAGATTATTGAAAGTGCAATGAATGCAGAATAATTCTATATTTTACCTTTTTAGACAACACAATTCCAAACATACCTGGTCTCCCTAGTATAACCATATGAGGAAATATGGTTGGTTGTCTGAATCCTTATATAAGCTTTAAAAAAATGTTCTGAAATCTGTCCTAGGCAATTCAGGGATCCAGAATTTAGATGTTTTAGAGTTCTTCTTTAGAAAGTGTACAAGTGGAGACTGAAGTGTTCTTTGTAGTACTGCAAATGGATGGACTGTAAATATGTTTGTATTTTTTTAATATGAAACATTTGCACTTTTCATCTGATGATTTTAAAGACATGATCTAGTTCTCACTGGGGTACAAAAACGTGTGCTCTGTACAGGGCCAGACTGGGGGAGCTTGCATGCTGAGATGCTTCTCCATCCTCCCTCATCCTAATATTCTTTTCATGTAAGAAAAAGCCATGTTGTCGAAGAAAGCGCCAGTTCAGCCTTTTTAATATGCCAGAGATGTTTTTGGTTGGAAAAGGAATCAGCTAAGTAAATTTCTGCCTGATGTTTGAAATGATACAGACCAGAGACCAAGGCAAATAATCCTGGTCAAAATCAGGCTAATCTTCTGCCTCCCCCTTTTGAATAAGAAGGGCAGCTCTGAGGACAGGTGTTGTTGTGTGGTTCTTTTTTACAACAGGGTGTGGAAATGGTAGTCCTCTGGATGTTGTTGAATTTCATTTCCCATCTGTCTCAGCCACAGTGTCCAAATGTGTCAGTGAATGACAAGGAGGATAGGTATGATAGTCTAATCACACATAGAGGGTCAGAGATCCGCCAACTTTGCTCTGTGCGCTTCATGTGCAATTTAATGTATTTTAAACCCAGCTGGAGTCAGCTGACTCCCCCTTTGAGTACATGGTTATAGGATTGCACTGTAGATATACTTCTTAGAAAGCTATTTGCATGCAAGCCAAGAAACTTTAGGTTCCTGAAGGAGGGTGATGTTGTGTGATTTGTCACATGTTGCCTCAAAATCATGGTAAATGAAACAGCTGAGTATTCAGTATTCTTTTGTTGCTGAAAAAATGTGGGTTTTTTTAAAGTGACTGTTTTAAGAGAATTGAAACAGATTTATTTTGGGTGACATTTTGCAATAAACTCTTTTAAAGATAATGGTGTTTTCATATTTAAAACTGATGTAAATATTGTGTGCATACTGGGCAGAAATTCTAACTTTTTCTTTTAAAGGAAGAGAACAGGAGTTGCAAAAAATATGATCAACAACCCAGAAACTAAGACAGACCTTGACTTCAGCAATCTTTTCCTCCAGGACATAAACCAGGCTAAAGACTAAGTTGCAAAGACTGGTCTGGGAAAGTAAATTTCCCTTGTTCTTTAATTTGCCTATTGTCTAACCTTCTTCAAACAAGGCAAGCTTGGATTGTGTTTGATGTGGTAAATATCAGGGCTTGTTGCAAAATTCTTTATTCTAAGGAACACGGTTAGCCCTTTGAACTGGAGAGTATGAGTGAAAACTTGGAGGCAGTTGTGAATGTGTCTGTGGGCTCCCTGCTGTTTGCTCCTATAAACAACCTGATGACTTGCATGCCTGCGAGGGCAAGAGGAGACATTGACTACTGCTGTAGTGGCTTTATACTTCGATGTGTATTCCAAAGCCCATCCTGGGCTCAGTTTATTATCATTGTGCCTTTGCTATACCAACAAAACATTAGCTTGTTTTTCCACAAGGTTTTATTAGTCATTCTGTTCACCAGGTTAGTTTGGAAGAGAAAGTGCGTCAAGTTGCAGTTTGCTCTCTTGGTTCCCAAGTTCTTCTTTCCCCTTAGGGTTTGCAAATTCCTCTTATTTAAGGTATGTCTGGTCATTACTGCTTCACAGAACAATAACCAGTGGATGGCAGCTGGCTCCAGTTTGTCCCATGTCTCTAAATTTTTGGTCTGGAGCAAAGGTGCTATTTAGTAAGCTTTAAACCAGCCTGATGAGGTTCCTCCTCCTTTTTACTGTCATCTCCATAATTTCAGAATTCCACAGTGCCCAGGATAAGACGGAAACTTTGCTTTGCTTTTATTTTATTTTATTTTGAATTAATCTTCACTAGATAGCATCTCTCATGGGAGCACAGAGATTGCCTCATGCTTTTAAAGTTTATACCAATGGAGTGCAAACTCTGTCAGGTTCTCTCAAAATCGCAAGGCTTTCCAAGTATAGCTCTAGTTGCAGCAGCGGTGCATCTGCCATTAAGGTCCAGCCTAGCTAAGCTTGGGGAAGATCTGCCACCAGAACATTACTCTGCAGGTGACAAAATGGTTACAGAAGCTATTGATACAAGAAGAGCTGTGATCTGCAGCAATGAAGGAACTGCCTGCACTGATCAAATTCCAGACCTTGAAGGCAAAACCACTATCTTATTCTGGAGATTTAATTTAGTAAAAAAAATGTTCCCCTTATCTATCTTTTTCTCTCCCCGAAGGTTAAGGAATTTCATTCTAAGACCCTGGTAATACTTTTGCGTTTCAGAACAGGAAGAAACTCAGCACTTCTACCTGCAGGTCACATGCCACCTATTGCCACAAAGACATGAAGTGGTAGACTGTGTGCCTGTTTCTCTTCTCTACCTATGTATGCTACTTTACTGCTGGGGTTTTTGTTTGTTTGCCTCTGCTGCCCATTGCTTTAGAGCTGGAGTCATTTTAGTTCCAATTCTGTACATTGGAAATCGGGGAGGATAACAGCAAACAGAAAACATCCAAAATAACTGTCATACAAGGACAACATGAAAGTCTTCTTCAGGGACAGCTGTGTTTCCTACATGATGCTGTGTGGCATTTAACAACCACGTGTGCTTGGTGCTGAGACTGGTTGGCTAAAATACTAGTCAGTGAATCGAAAGTGGGCCCTTGGCTGAAGATTTTACAAAGGCTTGATTTTATTATCGTGTATTAATTCCATTTGTATCCTACCTTTTCACTAAAAATAGTGCTCAAACCGGCAAACATCAGAAACAAAGCCTTGGGGGAGGGACGAGAAGTAACATATCACAAGAATGTTTTTACTTGTTTTTTTCACTTCTAAGAAGCAAAAAATTAAATCCTACGGATAAAGCTTTGTAAGAGGTCCAGGTATATTTGCAAATTTTATATATAATTCTAGATTTTATATAAGTATAGATTTTTATATATAATTTTCTTAATATGTTTATTGGTTAATACTTTTCAGTGCTTCCAGAACCTATATATAGCATGGTTGTCCTCGACGAGCTTATTTTGGATTACTGATTTTTCATCACAGAAACTATCAAATGGAACTTCAGCCTGTTTTGTGAAACTACCCTGTTTCCCCGAAAATAAGACCTAACCTGAAAATAAGCACTAGTATTATTTTTTAGGATGCTCGTAATATAAGCCCTACCCCAAAAATAAGTCCCAGTTAAGAGAAACCCCTGCCCTCCACTATTGTGCAGCAACCAAAATAAGACGACATGACTGTATTTGAATAAATGTAGATAGTCGTACATGAAAAAATAAAACATCCCCTGAAAATAAGCCCTAATGTGTTTTTCGGGGAAACATGGGTAGAAGCAATCAAGAGATGTTAGCACACTTTGTAGTCCTATTGTGTACCATTACTGTTCCTACAAAGTGCTTATAGACTCTGCTATGGAATGAGAATATTGATTTTCTCATATGGTCAAGACGCAAGAGTGTAATGAGTAATTTCTCATATATTCAATAGTTTTTCCAGCATAAAAGAGTGTTATAGTTAGAGCTTAAGAACTCTGCTGCTGGTTCAAGCTTAAGGATGGACCAAGAGATGGTTGTTGTGGGTTTTTCAGGCTCTTTGACCATGTTCTGAAGGTTGTTCTTCCTGACGTTTTGCCAGTCTCTGTGACCGTCATCTTCAGAGGACTGGAGTTCCTACTCCTGGTGAAACATCAGGAAGAACAAACTAGTATTCTCGAAGGCTTTCACGGCCGGGATCTAATGGTTGTTGTGGGTTTTTCAGGCTCTATGGCTGTGTTCTGAAGGTTGTTCTTCCTAAAGCTTCGGCAGTCTCTGTGGCCGGCATATTCAGAGGACAGCACTGGATATCCCACTGCTGGTGCAGAGTCCACTGCTGGTCCAGAGCACAGAGCGCTGTCCTCTGAAGATGCTGGCCACAGAGACTGGCGAA